CTCTCTCTCTCTCTCTCTCTCTCTCTCTCTCTCTCTCTCTCTCTCTCTCTCTCTCTCCCCTCCTCTCTCTCTCGTTTGCAGATAATGCACAAAAAGCAGCTGGTGAAGGACTATGAGGCAAGAGCAGGCAAACAGAAAATTTGACTTTCCTCACTTCTCCTCATCGCTGCTACGACTTTTGTCATTTTTTCGGAAATTTCAAAATTTTCCATTTCCATAAGACGAATGCGAAATGGTTTTCAATTCTGAGAACCCAAAACTCTTGTTGCTCATTGCACTTGTATTTCTCAATCAACAAACTGCGGCAAAAAGAAGTGGCAGACTGCGGCAAACAGCCTGCGGGGAGACATGGTAGCACGGGAGTGACACATGCAAACTGAGAAGCAGAAAACCGAAGCCATAAACACACTGCAAAAGCTGTGACATTCACACAACGAGAGGAGAGAAACAGCTTGCAAAGTTACACTGCTATACCCCCCCACACTTGACGCATGTCCCCAAAACTCCTATGCCACTATAGCTCGGTCTTCCAGAATACGACAAAGTAGATCGCTCTACCGGTTCCGTCCGTCTACTACCCGGCGGACTCTTCGGGAAGGTGCTCCCCATGTCGACCACTTCTGTTGTTGAAAAAGAGATAGAACCCCTTCATGTTCGGGGTTAAACCTTTTGAACAGGAAAAAAAGAAAGAAAAGAAAAAAAAAAAAAAAAACACAAAGAAAGAGCCCAGAAAAACTCCCACTGTTTCTTCTTCCGCCTCAGCTTGCCCCATGCCCATAACCATACATGCAAGCGGACGCTGTGCGGGAAATTCCGCGCATTGGGCGAACGAGCAGACCCGCACAGTGCAGCGCATGGGGGAAATATTTACTCAAAAAAAAAAAAAAAAGGGTTCGCATGGCCGGGCCATTTTCACCTGCATCCCCTTTAAAGATTTGTTGTGGGATGGGGGGGAAAAAAAACAAAAAAAAACAAAAAAAAAATTGCGGGAGTGCAATGCCGCTACCTGAAGGTCAAGACTGATGTCCCGGTTTCCGTTTTGAGGCTATTTCTCATGCCCAATTGGACGGAATGAAAAACATTATGTACGACTGTTCACTTCCTTAGGTGTTGCACTCTTCTGTATCTAAAGAAGCAGCGGAAAAAAAAAAGGGAAACTGCAGCGGGTGTGCCGTGCCGCACGCAGTACGGCGTACGGTGCGGTTGCAAGTATGCCATAAACCCTAAACCCTAATCCACCGAATTTTCTTTTGTGTTAAGCGTTTGATGTTCTCTTTTCTTAAAAAAGAAAAAAGAAAAAGGATGAATTACCTTTGCTGCCACAAACCAGTCTGCAAGGGAAATCAGATTGTCTCCATTTGGGGGGGGGGGAAAGAAAAAAGAAAAGATCGTCTCCACAGGAAATCCACGCAGAAACTCCATCAACATGAAAGCACGGTGGTGTCCTGAATGCGCCATGCTACACCCCCCTCCCCCAATGCCAGCCCCAAATGTATCTGACTCGAAAATGGGCCTCAGGACAGATGTAAGGACTGTTTCTTCTACTTGAGAGAAAATGGTAGTGAAGTGATTTTATTATTTTTATATATTTATACTATGTTATAGGGTTCAGCAGCAGGTTCATAAGGATGCCTGAATCAGCTGAAGCTGTGCATAATAACCATGGTCCCCTCCACACCCGCACACCTCTCCCCCCTCCCCCATCCTCCCCCAATTAACCCTCCCGATCCCACTATGCCGCCTCCTTCCCCCCTTCCCTCTCCCCCC